TTTCCTTGTTTACCTGCTCAAACAGTTGCACAAGAACAATACCATCATCAATGTCTGCAAACAGGTTATACACATAAGGCTTCACTCCAAGGCTGTTCATCCAGTTTCGAAACATCTTCTCTTCGCGAGTTTCCTCGATCTCTGGCAATTCATCCTCCAATGGCTCTAAACACGGGTAGGTGTTGAACAAATTACACACGAACGCCAAGTTGAGTTTAGGATTTCCTTGAATGATGTCTTTGGGTCGTACAAACTTCTTACAGCCCATTTTCTTGGCATTTTCAAGAACTAAAGTTGCCAGTTTGGTGGGATCTGATTCTACAACATGAGGAGTGTCGATGCCGAGTTCTAGTGGGGCAATCTGGAATTATAAATGTAGAACTATGGTTATATAGCACACGATTGCACTTTGTCTGTTCGCTCATTTATCAGAAAATCAACTCCAATGCTCAGATCATCAGTACTCGAATACACGAACATCACACCGCTCAGTTTCTTCTAGTGCGTCGTATATAGCATATAGTATTTTACGATGTAGATAGGATTTTTATAATTACCCTATTTAAAAGTACACTGTAGTTTTCAGAATCACTAATATCAGCCGAGAAATTCTTCACACGTCTGTGGTGACCAGCGCCTTCTAAGTGGTAATTAAACCATCGTAAAAGAACATCTTCAGGGGGCATGCGTCTCAAGAATTCGAGCGTTTCGTCTTCTTCCAACAGACGAACTAGTCCAGGACAGTTTTGTATGGTCACTTTAGCAAATAATCCAATCTAAAAAGGAAAAAATTGAATATGCATTCAGCTTGTAAGACAGTAAATAGCACCGCACTTTACCCTTATAACTTGCCACAGAATCCCAAGTACCAGATGAGGCTTGCACTCAATCAAATCCTGTGCACCAATATTCACAATATTGCAACCAATTGCCATAGCTGAATTGAGAGCAAGAGTTTGATTCTCGTGTATTGTGTACACAYTGAGTTTTTTCTTGTTGATTGCTCTCTCGTCYACAGTGTTAGGAACGGAAAAATTAATCAACTTGCACAGAAGAACACCATCCTGTATCGCTTTGAATAAACCATCAGAAGATWGCTCATCTATTGGGAGATATTTCCCTGATATAGTAAAAATAGCATAAGGAAAAATTAGTGTACTTTTTGATTTCTCAAAAGTTTATCATTCTAAACTTGAGTAAAAGGCATGTAACTTATTACTTAAGAAGTACTAAGCTTTACGTAGGTCATGGTTTCGACAAAATCAATCGTCGTAAAACATGATTTTACAAACCTGCTAGGTCAGGATCATCTTCAAGGCAAGAGTTAATCCAGTCAGTAAAAGCAATCATTTCATCGGTGGAGAAAGAGTGCTTTGTTCCTTCGGCTGATGCTGATGATACGTCGACCTGTTCAACTCCATGGCGCTTGTCAATAGCTTTTTTGTACGAACCACCTACTGCCTTCAATGATAAACTCTTAAAAAGCTTTAAAAAGTGAAGAAAATCTATYGWTCCGCCAGTCTCTTTTTGCAGATCTTCTGAAATCTGRCGAAGTTTGTACTTTGGTACTTCCTCTCCACACCGCTCCATGACTTCGCCGAGTTTTTCGCTTGAAATAGTCTCGTTYCCTTTGGCTGTTTCGTCAAATGCYTGTCTTATTTCTGTTATTTGAGCGTTGGACAATACTTCACCAAGATCTGCTCCCTCTGTCATTTTAACTTTGTTGGAAATTCGTAAAACGATAAAAAAAACCTTTGAAAATTGTCGTTTATCAAAAGTCTGAAATCCTCCGAAAAATGGTGCACGTGACTTAACCTGAGGTTAGGTAATTTATGCTAATTTATGTGAAGTCAGTGCAAATATGGGGTGAAAAAATCTGATTTCGACTTAAATGTCAAGAAAGGATATTGCAATTTTATTTTAAAACTATTTTAGCATTTACTATTTTCAAATAAGATTTGTTTTATTCTAAAGCTGGTGAAACTGACTATAAAAGTTGACGCATGCTCAAATCATATCATTGGATCCACAGGGAACCCATAGACGAGATAACCKATGAGCAAAACAAACTCATGGTGTTGGAGTTTAAATTAAGGTAAAGAATAGAACTCAAGGAAAAAGAAGAAAATGTATGGAGCTGAGATAATRGTCGGAAGAATAAAAACAAGAGCACAGAGTACGTTTCCTATAAAAATAAATAGTGCTATTTATACCAAACAAAAAAAAAGGATACTTTTATGAGTACAGGATTAGCCGCAGCCGATGTCATTATCAGATTGATAAACAATAGAGATGCTATTGCAAGTGTTTAATGAAATCTTGGGTTCATTTCCTATTGACAGCAGTCATTCAATAAACAAAATCTTGATCTYATTACACTAATAATCTATTTGTTGATCATGTGTTCGTTGGAGTCCAATTATGGCGCTATTAAAAATGTTTATGAAAGTGCTTTTTGTAGATAACKTTTGAGCGATTGGCGTTTAATAAAAACATGCTCTTATCTCCGGATCATCAAATTAGATTTAATTAAATGGTTTATTGTCAGGAATGAACATTTGGCGTGGTTGCTGGAGGACACGATACTCTTCATTCTTGAACGGATCTTGAATTGCACTAACTGAATGACGCTGAATTGTCAGCTACACCTTCTTTGAAAGGCTAAACTGGCGATGTCCAAAATGCAATGCATACATTTGAATTCTCACGCAAACCTCAAATCACCACATACACGTGCTCATAGTATACACCGCCCGAAAGGTTGTTGTTGTTGTTTTTTGTTGTTGTTTTTTTTTTTGCGAATTGCATGCTTAGCCTAAGTGGATTCTGTTAACTTCTGTTGCAAAGAGTCTTGCGGTGATACTGATAGACTATCCTGCCTGCAGGGAAAAGAGACATGTATACAGCAGATGTAAAAATGTTGAATGAGTCTACCGGTGGGAAATCAATAAAATATAATGAGCAATAGCATACAAACACATGGACGCCAACTAAAACAGCAACAACAACAACAAACGCACCATTGCCATTACTGCTACTGTCGCTACTGCCACCACACGGACTCCTCCAACAGCAACTTAACTTTTTTGTAGTCAAAAGGAAAAAAACTGGAACAAATCGTAATTGTTTTTTTTTTAATTTTATATTCATTATTGAGGGTTTCGATGAGCCTGAATGTGCTGCTAGTAAAGGCTAAGCAATTCCATGTTGCCGATAAAAGGTGGGGTTTGCTGGTCTCACYTGACTATGTAGGCATGGACTTCCTTTAGAATTTCACACCACTTTGATAATATTCAAAAGTCAATAATATTTTATTCTTATATGTACAATACGTTTTGTTGTGAATACACTGTTTCCCAATGATTTAATCCTTGTTTTTTTATAACTTGACCTATCTATYCYMTGCTCAGCCRTACAATGCGCAGAGTAACTTCCTCGTCACAACCTTGAATGCGTGCGACTTTATATTAGTGGATTCAAAYTCCATGAAACTCCTTCTTTGATCACAGCATTCAGAAACGTTTTGTTTGTTTACATATTTACACTTTAATTCCGTAAAAGGGATTACAATTTGATATTGATACCATGTATTTCTCGAGTTTAGTTATAAGACTATTTGAAGTTAGTGTAAATATCTCATAGTCCTATGTTATCCTCCTTCACAGATGTTTATAGTCTTTGTGACATGAATGGGACAGTCCCCGTGTAGTTCGAATACTCCACAACGTTTCGGTGTATGCATAAAGGAACTGCAGGGTAAGGTGCGATATGTTGGCATGGTATACTATCCAGCGGTGCGCATGTAGGGAGATAACTACAAGCCACATCACGGCAAATGGGATGAGACGGGAATATATATCCCTGCGCGTGCARMGCATACTCCATTTCTGCAGCAAGTTTTCGTTTCCACTTCGTCCTTCTGTTCTGAAACCATATTTTGATTTGTGTTTCAGTGAGGTTTAGGGATTTTGATAATTCCATCCTTCGACAAACACTCAGGTATTTGCTCTTTTGAAAATCAGACTCGAGTTCCTTGATTTGCTCGTTGGTGAAGGCTGTCCGAGGTCTCTTCTTAGAATCATCTTTCATGATAGTTGCTGGTGCTGATCCMAGCGAAGCGCTACTTTCTTTTACTTGAAAATGATCTGTAAACATACAATATCAATCAATATYAATAGAAAAWGCGTCGAAGTGAAACGRTCGCTTGTTTTGTTAGGTGCGGCTTTTGCGGGYACGAAATTACCTTTATACGCGTTGATAGTGATCTCAAGGGAGGTGTTGTGTGGTACAGAAGTTGGATTACAAAGAATACAATACATCGATAGTAATATTTGCCTTAGGACTTCACAGACACTCTGTTGTACTTTATTTCATGGTATAATACTCAGGGCTTTATACTTATTACATAACACACAACTTGTAATGCTTGCTTAGGGTATTTGATATCAGTRTGACTACTGACCATCGCCATTCATTGCCTCTATGAGAACCTTTGTAATACTGAAATTCTGAATGTGTACAAAACCCTTACACTTGAAAGAACAGTCATCGAAATTCAAGTCATCATCGAAAGCACTGATTTTTTACTTGACTAACCATTTTGTTTCCATAAAGTAACTTGACATCTGTACGAGCAACTGAGATCGTTTTAACCACGAGTACAGATCAACAGAGAGTGAAACTTAATTGCGACAACTCTTTAACRGTTTAAAATAGCAAGTTTTTTTCCATATTTCTCTTGATGTTCCATTGATGGTCTGGTTGCTGATATTTGAAAGTAAACTGAATCTCTCATTACAAGCCCAACTGCTATGACGCACTCTCTCGTGAAAGAATCGTCGAAAACATGCCGTTCATGTGCTCCTATCATTCACAATGTCATTGAAAATTATATAAACATTCAGCTTCAACCTTTCATCGTACCATTCAAAAAGTCCATCTATTGAAAAAGTTGTATCTTTTATGTTCTATTGAGAATCTTACTGTTCTCAGCAGTTGTCATGTCATTGCAATTAACTAAAGAGTATACCCAATATGAACGCTACTTTACTCAAAGGTATCCAACATTCTCGCTGTTATRTCTCGGTGGTGTACTATTAAGCCCATCGGTTTAAGATCTTAACAGTTTTTGACTTTATAACCCTTGCGCTTATCTGAAGAGTGAAGTCTAGGCGAGTCAAGTGCAACTCGTAAATAGTTTTCTATGAATATAAACCTGGTCAGTATAACCTTTTACTAGTTATGGTGCTCTATTTTAAAAACTRYGTGCTTGTGTTTCTGTAGTCTTATTCAGTGCTTGGTATATCGACTTAATATCGTGCGGATTTGATGGATCAAAAGCTATGCTTCACTTACAGCAGCAATTGCTTTGATKTACGAAATCTGGACATACCTGACGCAGACTGTAGGATTGTWTTAGCCTTAGACGAAGCACCTTGTTCCTCTTCTGTTTCTTTTTCCTGTGGTTTCTTCGTCTGYTCGGCTTGAACCAAAGGCTTAGAGTGACTTTTACTTAAGATGCTGTCAATAGAGAAACTTCCCAAGACATGTGGTGCCGCTGGAGTCCTACTGCTATCGTCGCCCGCGGAATTCATGCTTGGACAATTTGCGGCACAGACCAAAAATAATGATATAATAGCGTTAAGGAGGTAAATCTATCTTATCGCTTTACTAATTTGACCACCGCTAAACCAAGAACCATCTCACGTCGAACATAGCACGCTCAATAAAAGCAAAGCTAAGTCATTCAGGGTTTATCAATATTGTTAATAATCRAAGAATACGATTGGTTAACTCTTTAATTAAGCAGAACATATTGAGTCATCGGGTGGTATTGCAGTCATTTGCTAATAAACACGCGATCATTACCCCTAAAGATCTTAATGAATGGCTRTCGAGCATATACTTGCCAGTTCACAATGAAGTCTTGTTCGACCACAAGGATTCGCGGTCAAGATTTTGCTTGGATCTTAATTTCATTTCCCGTTGGAAGATTTCGATTGATTAATGGTACACAACCATTATACAAAACAAACCATAATCTCATTACTTTGCTTATATTTCATGTTTTATTACCTTTTGAAATATTTTCAGCTTTTAAGAACCATAATGCGCTTTGGCTCAGCAATCTCAACAGCAAAGCTGAATTCTCTAGATTGGAAATAATTGGAAGTTTGATTGACCAAAATGATCCCAATCATCAAATTCTTTGAATCTGTGTATAGATTCTCTTTTGAAAGGATTAGAAATAGCAATATAGGTCCCAGTAGGGTTCCTCTTTTATGCGAGACCGTTCATATCGCTTTTATGTTATTAAACACTATAGTGTAATTAGTAAATAATCGTATATAATAGTTGGTTGTCAAAACATGCGCTGTCAGTCAGACGTGAAGCTATTGTTCTTCGCCGCTGTCGAGAAATTACTCATTTTGTTATGATTTTCATAGCAATTTAGTTCTTTAAAACCTGATATGATAAAATGATCTGCTTTTTTCAAAACATCTGTTGTAGTTATTTTCTTGACTAGAAATAGAGCCAAACTGTTCAATCTCTGTCTATGTCTTGTACTCTATGTACGGATTACATGGAGTAACAGTAGAGAAGACAAATTGCAACACGGACTAATCGCTCTAAACTCAATCAGCCACCATTCTTATCTCGTAAAATACTCTGCAATTACTTCGACGCCCACTTTTCGTAGCCTACGAGATCTTTCGCTATTAATTATGATCAAAAGGATAAGCAAGTGTTTGTAATGCGCGCAAAAACTAGAGAGTTATTCAGGGTAGAATTGCGTTCGTTTTAACATCTATACATCATTTTAAAATCTATACTTTGTCAGAGTTGTAACCACAAGGTTTAGATTGGTCCACTTTCTGAAAACGTCGGGCTGTTTTCTGTGATACACTAATTGTTCTATGTATTTTTTTAAGAGATGGTTCTTGTGGTAAAAGTAAATGGCGGGAC